ATGCCTCCTGCTTTGGTCTTCTTCTTCAAAATTACTTTGGCTATTCGGGGCCTTTTGTGGTTCCATATGGATTTTAGGATTGCTTGTTCTAGTTTCGAGAAGAATGCTGGTGCAATTTTGATTGGGATTGCATTGAATGTGTAGATAGCTTTGGGTAGTATTGACATTTTGACAATATTTTTTCTTCCAATCCATGAGCACAGAATGTTTTTCCATTTCTTTATACCTTCTTCAATTTCCTTCATAAGCTTTCTTTAGTTTTCAGCATAGAGATCTTATGCATCTTCAGATAGATTTATCCCTAGGTATTTTATGCTTCTTGGTGCAATTGTGAATGGGATCAGTTTCTTTATTTGTCTTTTTGTTGCTTCATTATTAGTGTATAAGAATGCAACTGATTTCTGTACATTGATTTTGTATCCTATAGCAGCACTTTCAACAATAGCCAAATTATGCAAAGAGGCTAAATGTCCATCAACTGATGAATGGATTAAGAAATTGTCATTTATATACACAATGGAATACTATGTGGCAATGAGAAAGAATGAAATATGGCCTTTTGTAGCAATGTGGATGGAACTGGAAAGTGGTATGCTGTGAAATAAGTCATACAGAGAAAGACAGATATCATATGTTTTCACTCTTATGTGGATCCTAAGACACTTACCAGAAGACCATGGGGGAGGGGATGGAAAAAGAAAAAAAAGTTTTGAGAGGGAGGGAACCAAAACGTAAGAGACTCTTAAAAACTGAGAACAAACTGAGGGTTGATGGGGGGTGGGAGGGAGGGAAGGGTGGGTGATGGGTATTGAGGAGGGCACCTGTTGGGATGAGCACTGGGTGTTGTATGGAAACCAATTTGGCAATAAATTTCATATTAAAAAAATTAAAAAAAGAAATTGAATCAATAATAAATGAGTTTATAAGACAGAAAGCATCAGATCTAAACAGTTTACTAGTGACGTCTATCAAACATTTAAAGAATAAATTATATCAATTCTCCACAATCTCTTTCAGAGGATAGGAACAGAAGGAATACTTCCTACTTCATTATATGAGCAATACCCTAATACCAAAAACAAGACAAATACGTTATTAAAAAACTAAAGACCAGTATCTTTTATGAAGAGAGATGCAAAAATCCTCAACAAAATGTTAGCAAATTGATTCCAAGAAAGTATAAAAAGTATTACACAACACAACCAATTGGGATTTATCTTAGGCATGAAAGCTGGTTCCCTATTAGAAAACCAATTAACATAGACATTACATTAACACTGTAAAAGTGAAAAATCATTTGATCATCAGATGCAGAAAAGCATTTGAGAAAATCCAACATCATTCATCATAAAAAATCTCAATAAAATAGGAATAGAGGGGAACTTTCACAGCTTGACAAAGATTGTCTATGAAAAACCTAAAATCATACTTAATGGTGAGAAACTTAATCCTTCTCACTAAAATCAGATGCAAGGCAAATATGTCCCTTCTTACCACTTGTTTCAACATTGTACCTCAAGTCCTTTTTAATGCAATAAGGCAAGAAATGGAAATAAAAGGTACATGGATTGGGAAAGAAGGCACGTAACTGTTTTTCACCACAGGAGACATAATTGTCTATTCAGAAAAACCAAAGGAATAAACAAAGAAACTGGAACTAATAAGTGAATATAACAAGTTTTAGGATGTAAGTGTAATATACAAAAGTCAATTGCTCTCCTATATACCAACAACAGACAAATAGAATTTGAAATTAAAAACAGCACATCCACAAATGAAATACTTAGGCATACAGCTAACAAAATTTATACCAAGATTTATATGAAGAAAACTACAAACTGATGAATAAAATCAAAGTTGACTAAATAAATAGAGATGTTCCATGTTGGGTCAGGAAGACTCAATATTGTGAAGATATCACTTCTTCCTAAATCTATAGACTCTATAAATCCCAATCCCAATACCAGCAAGTTATTTTATGGACATTAACAGATTCTTAAGTTTTATAATGAAGCAAAAGGCCCAAATAGCCAACTCTATGTTGAAAAACAACAACAAAATTGGAGAACTCATACTACCCAACTTCAAAATCTATGGTAAAAAAAAAAGCTGTATAAAGCTGTCGTGATCAAGATTGTGTGGTATAGGCAAAAGAATAAACAGATAAATCAATAAAACAAAATAGGTATCCCCAAAACAGACCCCCATAAATACAGTCAATTGATCTGTAAGAAAGGAACAAAGGCAACATAATGGAACAAAGATAGGCTCTTCAAATAATGGTGCTGGAATAAGTAGACATCCACAAACAAACAAAAAAAATAATAATAATCTAGAGCTAGACCTTACACCCTTCAAAAAAATTAACTTAAAAATGGATTATAAATCTAAATATAAGAGCTAAACCACAAAATTTCTAGAAAACAACATGGGAGAAAGTCTAGATGACCCTAGGTATAGTGCTGCCTTTTTATTTTTTATTTTTAATGTTTATTTATTTTGAGAGAGAGACAACAGGGGAGGAGCAGAGAGAGGGAGACAGAGGATACCAAGCAGGCTCCACATTGTCAGCATGGAGCCTGATGCAGGGCTCGAATTCATGAACAGTGAGATCATGATCTGAGTGGAAACTGAGTGGGTCGCTTAACTGACTGAGCCACCCGGGCACCCCATTGACGCCTTTTTAGATACAACACCAAAGAAATCATTCATGAAATAAATAATTGATAATCTGGACTTGAATACAATTTACAACTTCTGCTCTGTTAAAGACACTACCAAGAGAATGAGAACACAAGCCACAGATTGGGAGAGAATATTTGCAAAAGACACATCTGATAGAGCACTGCTAATCCGAATTCTATAAAGAACACTTAAAACTCAATAATAAGAAAACAAGCAATCCAGGGGCGCCTGGGTGACTCAGTCAGTTGAGGGTCCCACTCTTGATTTTGGCTCAGGTATTGATCCCAGGATCATGGGACTGAGCGCTGCATTGGGCTCTGCATGGAGTGTGGGGTCTACTTAAGATTCTCATTCTCTCTCCCCCTCTGCCCCTTGGTCACTCTCTCTCTCTCCTAAATTAAACTTAATTAATTAAAAAAGTAGAATTCAAAAAAATAAAAACAACCAATTCAATTTTTTAAATGGGCCAAAACCTTAACAAACATTGTATGTTTACAATGATGCTTACAATTCTGTAATTTTTGGGATTCTAGCCCAGAATACTTATAACCCATACCTTCCTTTCTATATCCAAATACAAATATTTCCATTTGGATTTCCCATTAAACACTATGTTCCACAGTTTGTAAGCCCTTCTCAATTGTTTTTCTCTATGACACAAGTAATTTTTCCTACTCTTGGTCTAGAAACATATTTTTGCTACTATGTCTTCTTAATCACCCATATCATTCTGACACCAAGTCCTGATATTTTTCACATCAGTTCTTTGGTCATAAAGATTTTGTGAATCTTGTGAATCTTGTGAATCATGTCTGACATTCAAACCTTCCATAATCTTCCCACCCTATCCTCATGTGCCTCTGTATATATACTCTACTGTCTGACAGGAACATTAGATTCCAGTTGAGCTTGGTTTTGCTCATTTCCAAGTGAAACAGTTTTCTATGAATCTTTCTTCAGTCCCATTTCAAACCTTTTCTCCCTGGTGAAGCCTTTGACTTCTTTCTCTTAAATCAAA